TTAACTACAAGAACAGACTCCATGTTTACTTTTGAAGGTGTCTTGTTTGTTTGTATCATTCGTAATTTGGACCATGGTATAAGGCGTCACAACTATAATTAATAACTAGAAACTCATTACTAGTAATGAGAAGGTCTTCCGTTATACTACTTCCTGTTTGCATGAACATGTCTTTTCCAACGTCTGTATTAGCCTAAAACTTATGTAGAAACAAAATAACTTAAAAAATACTTTTTTGCTTCGTTTCCTGTCACCACCGGAAGTAATGACGACACACGATTTTTACACGAAGCAAATGAACTGATGACTGACTATAAGTCCTGAAAGTTTTAGACTTCAGTCTTTTACTGTTGCCGAACAATTGTGAGAACAAATTCTAATTTTGAGGACAGGAAAACACACGACCGGAAGTGAACTGAATAAAAATCTCTGAATTTTTCTCTTGACTTCTGCAGTATCTACAGCATATGTAAAAAACATTTCAAATACTTATCTATAAGTGATATTTATGAGAAAGTTAAACCACGAAATAACGTAGTTTATCTCTTAAAACCGGAAGTTTAAAGTTTTTTCCGATGGAATCTAACATATTTCAAAACAGTGAAAGGGCAGCGATAAAGTGATGCAAGTTTTAATTTTAAAAAGAAAAGTTGAAATTTTCGATTTCTTCGATCACTTCCTGTGATGACTGGAAGTGACGGCTGACGCTTTTAACCCTATGCGTTTTGCCTTCTCACCAAGTTTTATTACTCCTATAAGTTTGGTTTCTTACTTTCATGCCGTTTCCGAGATCTCGCTGAAATGACTTTTTATTTTGAGGACAAGAAAACACGCGACCGGAAGTGAATTTTACTAAGATATTTCACGTCACTCTAGGCATCTGCAGTCTGAATAACATACATAAAAATCATTTCAAGAACTCTATCTATAAGCGATATGTATGGGAAAATTCAAAACCCCTATTATGTAGTTTTTCTCTTATAACCGGAAGTTGTCGTTTTTTGTTTCCGGTGAGACCAACACATATCGTAACTGTGAAAAAGAAAATGATGCAAGTCTTATTCCAAAAGAGGAAAGTTGAATTTTTTTAATTCTTTGATCACTTCCTGTGACGACCGGAAGTGACGACTGGCGCTCTTAATCCAAATGGTTTTGTCTACTCCTCAAGGTCTAATACTCCTATAAGTTTGGTGTCTAAATCTCTTACCATTTCTGAGATATCACTCGGACAAGTTCTCATTTTGCGGACATTTAAACGCGCGACCGGAAGTGAATTTTACAAAGATATTTGACGTTACTCTAGACATTTGCAGTCTTGATAACATATTCAAAAATCAGTTCAAATACGTTACCTATAAAAAATATTTATGGGAAAGTAAAATACTCAAATTATGCAGTTTTTCGCTTATAGCCGGAAGTTGACGTTTTTGTTTCCGGTGGGACCAATATATTTCGAATCTACAAATAAGATGCAACAAAGTGCTGAAAGAAAAATATCAAAAAAGAAGAGTTGAAAATTTCGATTTCTTTGATCACTTCCTGTGACGACCGGAAGTGAGGGCTGACGCTCTTAACCCAAGTGGATTTGCCTACTCCTCAAGATCTATTACTCATATAAGTTTGCTGTCTTAATCTCTTACCGTTTCTGAGATATGACTGGGACAAAATATTTTTGAAAAAAACGGAAATCGGACATATCTGACGACCGGAAGTGAATTTTGAAAAAAATGAAAGATACGTTTGTAGGTATTTTCATTCTCTATTATCCCTGAAAATTTCAAGAAAATCCGTCTAGCCATCTCTGAGAAATCGTGAAAACAAGAAAGGGAAAAAAAAAAATAATAATAATAAAAAGAAAAAGAAGAAACAGTAGAATCACTATAAGGTCTTCCGTCTGAAACGGAAGACCTTAATAACAGAATGCGGTGTAAGGTTCACGTCAAAACATGGTTGACGCAAAACAATTCCTGAATTTTCCCCTTCAATTCGAGCATTTCTGCATTGGACAGGGCTGATGGTTGTTTATGAGATGAAAAACTATGTGTAAGCTTTCTTAGTTTAGCGGAATCATGAACATTTTCGGCGTGATGAATAATTTGTTTACAGTAGTGATGAGGCTTTCGCGCACCTGCAGGAGCGGATCCAAGGATTTACAAATGAATAAAATTTAATAGAAATGAAGTTTTAATACTTTTAAATATTATTTAATGAAATTATTAATATGCAAGTAATAGATATAGAAGAAAACGCGAAATGCTAATGAATGCAGCTGACAATCACTACTTTCTAAAGATAAATTAATTCTAAATAAAATAATTATAAATTCTAAAGACAAAACAGAAGAAGAATGAATGGTAGTAAAATATCAAATCACATCAGGGGAACCGAACTTTATGAATGAAACTCTTAAGAAGTTCCTTATAAGTTGTAAATTTTATATCTGTGTATTCTACCTGGTTGCTTCGAGGAAAGGGGGGGGGGGGGTCTTGAACATAAACATGTAAATTAGCATTACTTTGTAGAAAGAATTAAGGCTTATAATTTTAAAAACGTCAAGAAGAGTTGCTTGTGATATGAAAGTCAAGGTCATTTTATAAAGAATGCAAAACATAAAAGCGAAAAAGAGAGAAAGGGGGGGGGGGTGTAAAGATGGCAATGTCTTCTACAGTTGACAAAAATAGGGGCGAATAAAATGCACACACATATCATATACAACCGTTTTTATTTAATATAAACTCGTTTCCATGGCAACGGCAAGGTTTTTCTGGCCTATCCCAATCACCCAGTAGGTTTTAACTCTACACCAGTTCCTACGTAAATGAGCACTGAGCAGTCCTCGCAAACTATATATACGGGGGAAAAATCAATATTCTGTAGTGTTTAAGAAACGTTGGTCCTACGTTTTCGGAAATTCTAAGATATTTAAAGATATTTAATTCCTTCTTAATCCTATCAGGAAACTGGTAATACGTAAAATCTTCAAAGAGGGGCCTTTACATACCCTATGAATATTACAGAAAAAAGAAGTTAGAAAGACAAAGAAATAGAAAAAATCGACTTTTTAATCCAATTTCTGTGACGACCGGAAGTAATGACGACGGAAAGAATATTCATAGTGACATCTACAAGTCATTATCTATGATATCTGACAAAGTTAACTTTCATATCTTAAGCTGTTCTGGAGAAATGGAGCGGACATAGTCCTTTACCAAATTTCGTCTATACAATAATATTAAGAATACTAGATACTTATTGGCTAGGCAATAACAGGTCTTCCGTTTTCTTGACTTCTTCGGAAAAAAAAACACAATCTTGTCAATAAAATTACTCTAAATAATTAACAAAAGTTATCTCAAGGCTTCCAAAGATATGTAAATACAAATAAAAACAAACGGATATACTTTCCTGTTTTCTTTATGTACTTCATCATGAACAAAAGTGCTCCAAACGAATAAAATGTTCATTCTACACTTAAATTATTCACAACTGATCCTCCCTAAAAGTTTCCATGAAAAACTACTCATGTTTGAGACAACTTCCGGTTTTTCGGTTAGCACTTCCGCTGAAAATAAATTGCATGGTTATGGTCTATCTAACATCCGCATTAGCCAAACATTTCTGTAAAAAGAAAAAAACTTTAAAAATTCACTTTCTTTCATCGCTTCCTGTCACTACCGGAAGTGACGGCAACGTACGATTTTTACATGATGTAGATAAACTGAGGACTGACTATCAGTTCTGAAAGTTTTAGACTTCAGTCAAGTACTGTTTTTGAGCAATTAGGTGAACAAAATCTCAATTTGAGGACAGAAAAACACGCGACCGGAAGTGCATTTTCCTAAGATTGTTGACTTCACACTAGACAATTGTAGTCTCAATAATATATGTAAAAATCATTTCAGAAACTTTATCAATAGTGATATTTTTGGGAAAGTTAAAAATAGCAATTACATAGTTTCTCTCTTATAACCGGAAGTTGTCGTTTTTTGTTTCCAGTGAGACCAACACATATTAAAACTGTGAAAGAAATTCAATTATATGATGCAAGTTTTATTTCAAAAGAGAAAAGTTTAAATTTTTGATTTCTTTGATCACTTCCTGTAACGACCGGAAGTGACGGCTGACGCTAATAATCCAAAGGGTTTTGCCTACTCATTAAGTTCTATTTCTTATATAAGTTTGGTGTCTTAATCTCTTACCGTTTCTGAGATCTCACTTTGACAAGTTCTCATTTTGCGGACAGTAAAACACGCGACCGGAAGTGAATTTTACCAAGATATTTGACGTTACTCTAGACATTTGCAGTCTAAATAACATATCTTAAAATCATTTCAAATACTTCATCTATAAGCGATATTTATGGGAAAGATAAATACTCAAATTATGTAGTTTTTCGCTTATAACCGGAAGTTGACGTTTTTGTTTCCGGTGAGACCAACATATTTCGAAACTGCAAAACAGATGCAATAATGTGATGCAAGATTTAATTAAAATAAGAAAAGTTGAAATTTTCGATTTATTTGGTCACTTCCTGTGACGACCGGAAGTGACGGCTGACAAATTTAAACATGTTCCACAAACGTACTTGTCATGATCTATAATCCTTGAAAGTTTGGTGTCTTAATCTTTTACCCTTTCTGAGAAAACGTCCGGACATGAACTCTTTTGAAAAAACGGAAATCGGACATATCTGACGACCGGAAGTGAATTTTGCAAAATCCTTCAAAATGTTTTTAGTTTATTTTATTTGTCATAATCCCTGAAAGTTTCAAGAAAATCCATCGAGCCATCTCTGAGAAATCGCTTGGACAAAAAATGGGAAAAAAATAATAATAATAATGATAATAAACAGTACAATCACTATAAGGTCTTCCGACTGAAACGGAAGACCTTAATAATGTGATGTTTACAATGTTTAATTTTATGTTTAATTCAAGAGAACTTATGAAATTTTCTTTCATGTTTGACTGCATTAAAGACTTACATACTTTGATTTTTAGATGGCTGACAATTCTGTAGTACTGGAGTCAATCAAGAGGCAGAGAGGAATAGTATACTCAGCTTTAACTCCAAATCTGAAAGGATTCAAAGAAGCAGTGAGTTAATTGAATGTATTTGCCTTTAAAATCAGGCTTTATAGATATATGTGTTCGAGTTTACGGTGTTCCATTTCTTAAGGAAGACTTTAAAGTGAATCTACTGTTTTAGCTCACCTGAGCCGAAGGCTTAAGTGAACTTTTCTGATCAAAGGGTGTCCGGTGTCTGTTGTGTGTCGTCTGTAAACTTTTCCCATTTTCGAAGTCTTCTCAAGAACCACTGGGCCAATTTCAACTAAACTTGCCACAAAACATCCTTGTTTGTTTTTTGTTTGTTGTTTAACGTCCCTCTCGAGAATTTTTCACTCATAGGGAGACACCACCTCTTGCCGGTGGAGAGCTGCAAATGTTGACCTACACTCGGTACTGAGGGCCATTAAGCAGTGAGGGATCTTTTTGTGCCAGCACCTTCTGCGACACTGCTTCATTATATAGTATTGATTCAAGTTTCTCCAATCAAGACCCCCGGGGTTAGGGTGGGTCCAGAACAGGGAATTATATTTTTTCATCGGAATATGTAGGAAATATCTTTTAAAATCTTCTACCTAAGAACAGCAAAGGTATGATTAACTGTAGTCGTATTAATTCAACAGCATCTTCCGGTAGTGTAGATTTCAATTTTTACAAACAGGGTGGTTCACAATACGGTATCAAATTTTTACATATGAATGTATAGGATATGTCTTAAAAAGTCTTCTCAAGAGCGTGAATAGCAAAGCCATGATTAGTCATATTAATACAGAAGCATTCTCAGGTAGCACAGATTCAAGCGTGTTCAAATCATGACCCCCAGGAGTATACTGGGGCCAGGGCTCAAAGTTTTGCATAGGAAGATAAAGGAAATTTTTTAAAAATCTTTTTTTTAAGAACAACAATTTCATGATTAGTCATATTAATATACAAGCATCCTCAGGTAGTTTAGGTTCATGTTTGTTCAAAATATGACCCCTGAGGTAGGACGGGCCACAAAAGAAGAAGAAAAATTACATAGAAAATGTGTATGTATGTGTGTTTTATTTAATTGCAGTTGCATTATTTAGGTTTCAAGTGGTGTCAATGCAGTTGCAATATTTGGAGCAGCATCAGAGACATTTAGCAAGTGAGTATTGACCATTTTACTCGTATTCCAATATGTCAAGTTCAAGGACACATTACATGAAATATTTACAGTCTTAATGTAAGGATATCAGATTTTCATAGGAAATCAGTCAAACAATCATTTTATACATGTACAAGGCACAGCTGTAGTAAGAGTAACCTAGAATCACCAGTCAGTTCACCAGTCTGTCTGCAAAAACTTGCCCATAACATCTGAATGGTTGTTGCTAGTGCTATCAAATTGTACATGTGAAATTTTTGTGACAAGACCTTTCTTCGGGTTCCAATATATCTGACCTCGACCTTTGAGTTTGACCTACTTTAGCAAAATTTAACAAAAGATATATTCTCTATAAGGCCGTTTTACGGCGTACAATAACTTCAAAATTTCACGTAATATTCTTACCCTTAAAAACTGTGTGAATCATTAGGTTAACGATCCAATGTAATGATGAATATTGATTGGTTAATGATGCTTTAGTATTTGTCATGATATAAGGTCACAAAGTATTGAACTATCGTTCCTTATTAGCATTGGATAATGGGAAAACTCAAGAGGGTGGATGTGTTAGGCAACTCCTACACCTGTCATAACCACCTTTAACCAACACCAACACTTGCATGTAAACGTCTTATTAACTAATTTGAAAGGGACTACCAGCTTATCAACTTGGTTAAAGGTGGTAATGACATATAAGTAAAAACTTTCTGCTTCATTTTAATGATGATTACAGAAAAAAATGAATTTACTCATAATGAAGATTATGAGCTTGTGTAGATTGTTTTCATTTTACTCTTTTATTTAGAGTTCATCTTTCCGTTGATATAACGAGAAATAATACATGTATAATCCATGCAATTTTCACTCCAAAAATGTTGATTTTTTACCATGTTCTGAAATCAAAGGACTGGAAAGACTGGGTGTCATGAAAATACTGGGATATACTAAGTATTAAACACGATGACAAGTCTCATTGAACTGCCTGTTAGAAATAAACAATATTTTCATATATCATATGGTGTGAATCTTCATAGATTAATTTAGCTATACTACTTCTTTGGAAGTACTGTATATCTTGTTAGTACTTTAACAGGTCTGGGAGTCGCGGAGTAAGGAGTTGATCCTTACGTCGCGGGTTCGAATCCCACTGTGGGACGCGGAGACCGGTCCTTCGGATGAGACCGTATAAACCGAGGTCCCGTGTCGCAGAAGGTGCTGGCACGAAAAAGATCCCTCACTGCTCAATGGCCCTGAGTGCCGAGCAAGGTCCAAAATTTGCAGCTCTCCACCGGCAAGTGGTGGCGTCTCCATATGAGTGAAAAATTCTCGAGAGGGACGTTAAACAACATACAAACAAACAAACAAACAGGTCTGGGCGGCCTCCGTTTTTGGAGGATAGCTAGATTCGATATGGCGGCCAAATATTTTGCCATATATGGAAACCGCATTGCATTGTGGGATAGTTTATCCACCGATTTCAAAGGATAACACAGGTAATTTTCAAAACGCCTCGTGCCTACCTTTAATCAAAAAGTGCAAGCACCAGAGTACATGTAAATAAAAGTTCAAACACAAAACTATCGATTGTATGTGGCAATTTGGGATTCTATGTCTAGAATTTGTACAATACGCTTTCAAAGTTGGCACTTATTGCACTCAATTTTTACTTAATATTTCTTTGTATTTTGTTTTATTTTTATGTTTTTCACTGTCAAGACAAATAAAAAAAGGCCTTAAATAATATTACTTTCATAAACAAAAGGAAACCCAGAAAGAAAAAAAGGAAACACAGAAGGAAACGTATTTTAAACACAAAATATACTAGAGCCTTATAACTTGAACAAATAAAACAGTTAAAGGATTGAATGAATAATTATAAAATAAATAAATAATATGAATTATTTGAATAGCATAAATAAATGAAATAGATAATTTAACATGTTTACTAAGGAATTAACATTGTTATATACAGTCATATACATGTATATACATGAATAAATAAAATTTTAAAAATTACATTGCAAAAGTTATGTGTTTAAGGATTATTCATTAAATAAAATAATGATTAAACCTGATTTTTCAAAAATATATTTTTCAAAATTTGTAAACCGCTTAACACATAATTACGGTACTGGAAAATCAGCTTGGTTATAATTATCGTCTCAGACAGGTAAGTGTTATCATTGTTTACTAAGCTTTAAACCAAATAATTGATTGACAGCAATTACAAAATAGATGTTGTACTGATTTAATATCTAGATTTATCCATCATCATATGAAATTTAACATTTTATTTGTTTTGGTTGAAAAATCTGCCTAAATGCAGAAATTGCTGTTATTTGTTTGGTTAAGAGTTAACTGCCCTTTGTTTTGAAAAGTCCGGTAGGTGGCAACACTGCTATCCTCTGTTTTTAGAGGATAAAATATATCCTCCACAAACGGAGGCCGCCTAGACCTGTTTAATTGATTGAAGCTATCCATGTTGTAGTGGAGAGATACACATATGTTAATTTTCTTATAATATGTAACATAATTGGAAACTGTTAGAAGTAGAATTACTGACATGAAAAAAAAAACGTATTTATTGTTATCTGGGTGTTGAGATGACTCATTCTATTGGGATTTCAGGATGCAGCATATAAATTAGCTATACGAGCTTCGAGAACAACATTTTGTCTTAAAAATTCAAACGCCTTGGGGTGTCGTCAAGGTCACATATGATTGATGATTGTATGTTGCTTTACCCATTTTAGAAATTTTTCACCCAGATAGAGAGAGAGATATAATGAAGTGACATAATTTTGATTTATACTTGACCAGTTTCTTTACTGACCAACGATTACCGTGGTACAAGACCTCCCTTATTAAGGTAATGTCAAAATGAGCCATTACGTTAAATGCTCGGTGCTTAGAAGGAACAAACACTATCCATGTTAAACGCTTTAGATTTGACACGGCAGCGGGAACGAGAATTGTGCTCTTGGGGCCTCTAGATCTCGAAGCGAGTGCATAACCACTGAGCTACCGCAACCAGTAGGGCCTCTGTGTAACTTGGATGTTGCAGAAATCTGTAAGACCGTGGTTATACTTTAACTCTTTATATGAGTAGTGGAAGGTGCTGTTGAATTTATGGAGTGTTGTTAAAGGAGTGAGGGGGCATGGACTTGGCTTCATATACATGTATCTATGACATTCGTTTATTTCATTTAGATAGCGCTTCTAATTAAGGTCTTCCATCTTCACGGAATACCTTATAGTGATTCTACTGTTTCTTATTATTAAGGTCGTCCGTCTTTACACAAGACCTTATAGTGATTCTACTGTTTCTTCTTCTTCTTATTTATTTTACTTTCTAATTTTGTGCACGCGATTTCTCAAAGACTGTTGGATGGATTTACATAGCATTTTTTGAAATGTGTTGTAACATGAACTTAAAATATCCGAGAGGAAATTTCAAAATTCACTTCCGGTGCCGGGATATTCACCATTTTCTGAATTCAAAATGACATAAAATGGATAAGTATTTTTCTAGGAATCACCCGAGACATCCCCCAAATGCGTTTTTCATACGTTCACTGTTCAATTTTTGCGCTGCATTTTCACTCCATTCGCATTTCAATATTCACGATGTTCACCAAGTTGTCAGCTTTCACACACTGTTGGCTATGCATTAATTAACTGTTAAGTGTTGACGCTCACCATTAACTAATCTTTCAATCACTAAGTGGGGAAGTGGAATGTTTCAGGGTCTGTATCATTACCACCTTTAAATGAATAACCTGTTTTTATTTCTTGTAGAAAAAATATTAATTGTAGTATATCTGAGAGCTTACAGAGATTTGAAGAACTCATGAAAGCAGCCAAAGAAATTCAAATGCCAGTAAGAGGGTTGGTGTTCAAAATTTATTATTTATTACGACATGTCAGTTGAAATTACGCAAGCTGTGTACAAAAGGGAATGATTTGTTTTAAACTAATTTAGATATATCTCTTGCGTTCTTGGATGTCCATATGAGAGAACCATCCCCCCAGAAAAAGTTGCAGAGGTAAGGTTTATTTTTCCTACAAAGTATTTGCAATACACTGCAATACTTATGTTTCATACATAGAATATCCTAGATGAAAAAAATTCTGTAATTGGTTTATAAATTCTCAGCAGATTTAGATAAAGTTCCCATGTCAGCTAAGAATGATTATTTTCCAATTGAATTTATATCCCATTTTCCATATCAATTTTGCCCCCCTCCTTTTCCATTGTGAAAACTCTTTTTTTTTTCAGTCACTGTCCAGTGTGTAAAAATATCTTTCTGTCCAACTCTATTTACGAGAGGCTATAAAATATTTTGTAGACTGATGCTTTGAAATTCATGCAATTTCTTTTACATACAAAAAAAAGTGGATTATAATTGCATTGAAGACCTAAGCACACTTCAACTTTAACTGCAGGAAAATTACTCTCTGCACAAATAGGCCTTTTGTCATACTTAGATCTCATGATGTCACTTTCTTCAGTGCTTGCAAACATACTAAACTAATCACCTGGACAAGGAAGGTTATTTAAAAATCTGTTAGGCTTAAAAATACTCATGATATGTCGGCATTTTGAAGAATTAAAGTTTTTTGGGTTTCTAACTCTAAGGGTCTTCGGCCCTTGAAAGAGAAACAGAAATTTGCCGAATCGCTGAAATGAAACTGAAATTTTACAGTATCAAGCACATGTCAAGAAATGACTAACCGGAAACACCAACAGCATTCTTGCTTTTATGCAGCAAAGAAGTCACTAGTCCTGGCACAGAGCAAAGAATAGAATCAGTAATCAAAGCAGTGAGCTCTAGGAAGGAACAAGTAAAGTTACTTTAAGATCAGGAATAGACAATAAAACACATTTAAATAAGTGTTAATGAGGAAGTGTGTATATCCCAGTTTCAGGGTTGGCCGGGAAATACCAGTGGTGGGAATTACCAGTGGTAAATACTGGTATTACCCGTCCTGGGAAATACTACAAATTCTCTCTTAACTGGGAAATATTGGGAAATACAAAGTTAAAGTTTTTTTTCTTTAATTCGTTCAATCTTATACTAAATTCAAAAATAAAATAAACATAAAAACAGAAGATGAATAATATTGAATATGTCTCAAATTGCAATTTAACATTTTCAGAATGTATCACTACTCCAGATTCCATACCATAAGCATTCTGAAACATTTCCCTGGATGTATAAAACTGAAGTTTTCCAATTCAAGTTTCTTTTCAGTTTTCTAATATTATTAAGTTTTAATTATAAATCCAAGAACAAAACAAACTTGTTTTAATCCTTCTATAAACACTGTAGTTATTACAATCAATCATGTTGTTTTAACAAATTGCTCTGGACAGTTTTGTGCTCCTGTTTTGAGAGATAATTACCTTGAGTAGAATTGAAAGGCTTCTTCTTAGTTTTGATATTTATACCATACTCTACATTTAAGATTTTCTTAGATCCTTCGTTAGTGACATAAAAAACGCAATTGGGATATTTGGGTTCATTGGACCTTTATAGACTACATCAGACTCAAGCATGAAACAAATGACACTCATGACTGATACATGAATATACTGTGTTATGATTAAATAAAATGAATTACTAGGAAACCAGAATTTTTTAAATCAGAGACAGTGTTACCAGTTAGATATCTTAGCCAATAAGGTGTACTGCATGTCAATATGAATGAAATATGTAGCTATTACTTATTTCCCAGTATTTCCCGGGAAATACCAGTAATTCCCGGTAATTACCAGTATTTCCCACCGTCCTGGGAAATATGAGTATTTCCCAGTTTTTTGCCAACCCTGCCCAGTTTACCAAAAAAATTATGAAAGGGGAATTCATTTAATTGTACAGTTATTTAATAGACATCTAGTTAACTTTCAAGAAAGCAAAAAATAAATTTAAGTAATTGTCAGTTGTCTGACAATCAAAATATAATACTATATATTTAAACATGGTCAAATACATATTCTGTTAAGTATACTAATAGTATTTCAATCAAAGGCAGGAAATCAGAGGAGTAAACTCCATATGCAGGTGAAAATGTTATTTTGCTACATAAATAAAGAGAGTTTACGATAGAAAAGTCGAAGTCATCATTTTTATCATAAAATTTAGTTATTTATTTGCCTTTAGTGTCTTTCACTAGTAAATCCAAGTATGAAACAGATGTGTCAGTCTGTCTGGTATCTTATTTCGAGTTCAGTGGGATATAACGAATCAACAAAGAAATGAAAATGAATATTGTAAATTGAGAAAACGTCCTTGATATATAATTGTACATAAATGCCAAATTGATGGCCAAAGCAAAAGACTTCTTTTCCTGTAGAAGTTTTAAAATAAGTTCTGCTTCATATAAATAGAAAAACAGATCGTCTAATGAGGGGGCACAATTATAACCCACGGGAATTCCAACAGATTGTTGAAGGCTTAGTCTCCGAAATCTACATAAAAATTCTTAATGAGATTTCAATGAGAAACTCAAACATCTTTATAATATCCACCTCAGAGTACTTGTGTAAGAATGAGAATATTTTTAACGAAATTAGTTGGCAGATGATGACCAATGACAAGGTATGAAAGTGTCCGAGTTCTATTTTTATTGAAGAAGCAGTTTTCTATGATGTCAAAAATTCTGGTCTTTAATTCATTGTGGGAAGTGGTTATATAAAGTGTTGAAAAGTCATATATTTGGATGCTGGATTGATTTTGATAAATTTATTTATTTAAAATTTTCTGAAAGTTCCTTGGTGTTTTTAATTTTCCACATCTGATAAACACCAGTTCTCAAATGTGTTGCATAGTACTCGATGAGCGTATTTGATTTGTCAACACTAGTGTCGAGTCGGGTTGATATCGAGCATGCGCACAAACAAATACAGTCTCTCTTTAATCAAACGGCAAGAACATGACTCATTGCATTGAAAATGGACGTTGTTTTGCCTTTTTTAATTGATGAATTTTTTGAAAGCGAGGAAAAGTATGATATATGGGAAAACGACGAAGATCTGTTGTTTATTTTCTTCTGCCTACAAACCATGAATAACAGATGTAATGTGGCAAAAATTGTTACATTTGTTGAAGAAATAATACCAAGAATGAATAACAATGAATTTAAGAAGCATTTCGCTTGTCTAGAGATATCTATAACATTCTTCTGCTTGAATTAGGACTGTCACTGAAATATAGAGAACGTAATATGGGTAGACCTGCTTTACCTCCTGACAAACAACTCCTAATATTCTTGTGGTACATGGCCAACCAAGATTCTATGCGAGAAGATGCATGTATATTTGGAGTTCGTCCTTTCACAGTTCATAGATGTGTTCGCCGGGTCTCAAAGACGTTGTGTGACAAACTTTTGCGAAAATTCATTATTTGGCCAGATCATGATGCCCAAGAACAGATATCTAGAGTTATATACGAGTTTAGTGGGTTGCAATATTGTATTGGATTCATTGATGGAACTCTTATTGCTTTATCATTCATTCAAAACGGTGATAAAGATTACATTAATCGGAAAGGATATCCATCTATCCAGCTACAACTTGTTGTCGATGACCAGATGATGATAAGAGACACTTTCGTTGGGTGGCCCGACTGTGTCCACGACGCCAGAGTGTACCGCAATTCACCAATTTTTAACCGTTTGGATCATGATAATGAGATTAACCTTGCACAAGAGAAGTATTTAATTGGTATAATATACTTATTACACTGTATTTATTTTATTGAATAATAATATTCCAACTAGACATCTGTTTGCATTTTAGTGCATATGCATGAATTTCCATTCCAAAAATTTATCTTTTAGGAGATGCAGCATATCCACTTTCATCATTCATGATGACACCCTTCAGAGCTGTAGGTAATCTCTCAAATGCACAGAAGCTTTTCAATCGCAAACTATCGTCAGTTAGACAAACAGTTGAGAGAACAATAGGTCACTTGAAAGGGCGTTTCCGCCGGTTGCGTGAGCTATATTGCGTAAATATTGAAGACTGTTGCTACCTCATTACATCAGCATGTATTTTGCATAATTTGTGTGTTCTGAAGAAAGACGACATGGATGACTATCTGGAACTAAATCCAAATCAAGCAAACAGAGTGAACTATTATCCTAGTATATACAGAAACGATCAACGTGGTGTTAACAAAAGAAATGCTCTTATGCAGAGTCTTCAAAATTATTGCATGTGATATTTTCATCTCTGCAATATATTAAGAAAATCTTTGTTGCTAAAATAAGAGAAAATTAAAATATAATATGTAAACAATTCACTCATAAAAAAATTGTCAATAAGCATGATAAATGGATCTCTAATTAAAGGTACAGAACCATTTCCTTTGGATGAGGATAGTCAGTATACAGAAAACTTGGTTCAGTTTTACATAATAAAATACCGTACAGTACCTGCATCACTTGGCAAATGCAAGATCAATACTGACCAGATGGATTTGGAATGCTGTATAATGATCGTGGATAATGCAGTAACGATGAGCGCACAGAATCAATTATGTCGTGACCAAAAGATATTTTGCCTGCATACTTATTTAATATAATGGCCCACTGCTTTTGCTCTTCTAAATCACATTCAATTGAGGTTGCTATAAATTTAAGATTATTTTCACAGACAGCAGACTGGTAACAAATTCTAGAGTAAATGGTGTTGACCTTCTTGCACAGATAATTTCCAATGACTTTGCATTTAAAATAATTTGGTGAAGTATTAAAAAATCTATCTGAACTCCAGATAAATCAATACATTTGAGCACATGAAAATCTACAACATATACAGCAAGCATTTCCAGTGATTTCAAATGACAGATTTTTTTTTATCATAATGTCCAATAACTCTCAATATTTTCAAGCAACTCATATTCCTCAGAAAACACAAGCTGTTTCCGAGAGCAGAACAGGAAATACAAAATTTCTCAATCATTTTAAAAATGATAAACTTGGAGTATTTACTCACACCTGCAAAACGAAACTGACTTTTTCTGTCCAAAAATCATGGTATTTTCAATACAACTTCATTTGGAAGGTCAATCAAATTTCTGGAACAATAAATAACATAATGACATTACTGAAATGCATAGACTTCCATTCACTTATTTTTTTTCTCCAGAACATTTAACATTTTTTCCATCATTTTCATCTTTTCATCATGCATTTCTTTTATTTCTCTCATCTTGTTTCTCTGAAAATCAACTTGCCTTTCCTCACAGTGTTCTTACCATTCTGTGACCTCAGCTGTCTTCCTTTTTTGAACTTCTTTCCTATTTTTGGCATGTTTCTCTTTCGATCTTTGGGGCTGTTCATCAGAACTAGAACAAGATTCTGGCAATTGAGAACTTTCACTGACACTGCCTGAGAGGTTTCCAGTTGTAAATTTTGGTCTTGTTCCTGCCCTCATTCCGTACAGTTCACTGAATTCTTCAAAAAAGGCACAGGATTTTCTATAATTTCCACTTTTATTGTTATGATCAATTGTAGCTCTGTATTCTCTTTTCAATGATTTGAACTTGTTTCCGCATTGTTTTGCTGTAACACATCCATCGTTTTTCAACTCTTTTGCAATTTTCTCTCAAAGTGTCTTGTGAGACCTTGCTTCAGAAAAGTCCTTTTCTAACTTTATTCTTGCATGAAATAGAAGTCTTTTTTACTCCACACTTTGGGCAACTCTTTCTCACCTGAAAAATAGAGTACATGTACTTTCATAAAAGAAAACAACATTTTACTTCATAAACACTTTCATATTAAAATGATATTTCCACATACATTAAGAAGGTACAAGACTGCAACAACCATAAATTAACTTTTAATAATGATATTGACCTCTAATTCACAACAAATATGACTTTGACCTTTACAATTGAACATAGATAAAGAATCTAATTGTTATTTAATTAACAAGCGAGATATCTAGCTAAATTAAGACACACATGTGCAAGATACATATGATGCAAAACAAAAATAAGAGCAATTTCTTCAGTATTTCTATATTCAATTGTAAATTAAATTTACTGAATATTTCAGTTTGTATTGTTTCATAAAATTTTTATACATAGTATCTTACATGTGCTTGGTTCAGAATTCGATTCAGGACTTGGCATGGGTGTTTTTGGACAGCCTGCTGAAAAACAGAATATTCATTCTGAAGGAAAAGGGTTGGTCAGGGAAATTTTATCCATGGTATCACAAAAAATCACTCCTTTCATTCATTATACATGTAGAATTCATTAATTACTGTCTGCACTTTTTGAAAGATAAATGATTTTGCCATGATTAAATGTTCTTCTTTAAAAAACACGATTAAATAAATATTATATATTAATTCCACTTACTATGAAATTCTGGACTAGATGATATGTTTGAACAAACATCAGCCAGTGTCTCATTTTGAGTCTCTTCTGTAGGGCATGCTGATATAAAAATTTTAATCTGATAAAAATTTGCATGATTATAAATTGATCTACGAATTTACTTGTCTGTTCATGTACATGTAACAATTAAGGGGTAAATTTTGCCTTAACAGTCAAAATATTTACTATTCAAGTTTTACAGGCCTTTCATCAGTAACTATGCATAAACAATAACTAAACTAGTACCTGGTAAAGGAGCTCCTGTTTCCTTTATGTTCTTCTTGATTTCAGTCATTAATTTCATGTCTGAAAATGTTAATAATCAGCTTCATTCACTGTAATTTAGTGTAATAAAATAGGATATAAACGAGCTGAAATCATAAGTCATATTTCAACAGAAATACCCCCTTATCATTCCACCCCATAAGTTGGACAAAGAGGAAAAAAGGGCTTATTGATAATGAAATTTATGATACATTTGCATGCATATATATATTTAAGCAATCTAGACAACTTTTGCAGTGAACATTGACTTATGAACTGCAATTATTCTGTTGTCGTATTATGTTTATTATGTTCTGTTGACTGAAAAAAAAAATCTGTTTGCTTTACATTGTATTAAGCATTATATACTAGTTACAATTGTTTTCAATATACATTTTCCACTTACCACCTACCTCTAGCTTAGCAACGATGGGAGTCGGTAATACTACTTAATCTCCTCGTCCGGGTACACTAGAGTAACTTCTCTCCAATAACTATCAATGATACGTAACATGCATTTTACAAATGTAGTCATTTTCATTAGCGCCATTAGGTAAGCGACTCGATCAGTTCGTCGGCGACGAGCGAATCAATATTTTTTTATATGCCTCCTGTTCTGAAGTACTAGCCAATATCCTTATTTACTTATTAAAATGTTAATTTATTTCTAAAATCTTAACAAAACATCTGCCTCATCTCTTTTTCCCTCCCTTGTCAGCCATCTTTGTTCTTGTTCACTCTTGTAAAATTGAAGAGTATGTTCGTGACCTAATTCTACAACACGCGCGTTGTGTTCGAGGTGTTTTATTTAGAAATCCGACTCGAGAGTTGCAACTTGTGTTCAAATCGAATACACCCTTTAAGTTCTTCTTCACTTCTGTTAATATTTTCATGACGATTAAAGAAAGAGTTTTTGCATCAGATTTACTAGAACCCGCTGTATATCTTTGTTTTTAAGGATTTTTTGAGTTTAGGAATCCATGTAGGTATTGTAATTCAAACTCAATTTGGCTTTGTGGATATTAAAAATATTTAAAACTGACTTATGGTTTTTGGTTGATTAATTGTATGCTGTTTTACCTCCCATTGTAGAATTTTTCACTAATACGCAGACGTTACCATATACTGATGAAGGGCTTCAGAACTATACTTGGCAATCAGAGCCATTAATCAAGGAGGGTTCTTCATCGTGCCAACGTCTACCGTGACACAGGAGCTGGGTTTTTAAGGTCTCATCCGAACGATCCAAAAATTTCACTTGACCATGACAAATGATCTTGACCAATGACCTTGTCAGCAAATAAAGTCAACCATTAAGTTGAGTGTTGACTAACTTTTTTTTTTCAAACAAAGTGTTAGACCATTATTTTCACTGAATTGTCCACGTAATTTTGCGTTTGCCCGATCATGACAAGGAGATCACGCAGGGTGTGACCGGTCGACAGGGGGTGCTTACTCCTCCATGGCTATGATCCAACCTCTTATGTTTTCAGAGGTCAATGTTTGCTTTACTCCACATTTGTATTATTTCAAGGGACTTTTTGAGCTTGATTACTGTTTGTCATCTTTATGTTTCATTCTAATGCCGGTTGCATGGCAGGAGCAGTCACTACTATATTTACGTTTTGGATTTGACGATGCGCGGCGAACGACAATCAAACTTGTATAATTTTAAAGAATTTCCTTCTTAGAAAGGGAACTATGAGTATAAGTTGGATTACCAGTTGTAGAATTAAATCTAAGTTCCTCTAAAATGCAGTTGTAATAATAAGCCTATCCTTCCGTTTTCACTTAATCGGAAGTGTCAAGGATTTAGAAAGACTTCATGAACGATGTGTTATGGTTGCAGTTGAAAAGGCTTGTAACATTATAATATCGTCTTTGTAAGGCTCATTATTGACTCTTCATCTGGAAATTCAACTTATACTCAAAGTTCACTTTCTGAGGATGAAATTCTTCAAAATAACATTTCATTTTTTTTTAATATTTCAACATTTCAGTAAAAATTTTTACAAACAGATACACTAATATTGCTGGATCCAGCAAATGCTATATGAAGTCCCTTGCTATTTTCCTCACAAAAATATTAACTTATGAAAAGGAGAAACTTCAGAGCTACTATGCTACATCATATTAGAAAGGTCGTATAAATCAAAGTTGGATTCTCAAAGACTCCAGAGAACTTTTCGAAAATTTAAAATCACAATAAACAGTAACATCAAAACCTATGACTTTTTGTTCACTTTATCCAACCATTCCTCATGAAAAATAAAAAAAAAAACTAGGCTTTTTTGATATCATAGACAACAGCTTTTTCAATAAAAATGTAACTCGAATATTTTCTTGTGATTTAACATCTTTAAAATTGCTTTATAAAAAATTCACTCTGATTCTACACGCAAGTAAATACATAAAGTAAATGAACTTGAAATAAGAGACACAATATATATACAGGAAAAAATCTTTTAAAATCTTCTTAAAACAGAAAAGCTATAATCATATCAATGCATAAGCATCTCAAGGTAGTTTTATATTAAGTTTGTTTAAATTTTGACCCCCGGGGGTAGGGC